AGGGGGGTGAGGGGAGGGTCGGGAGTGGGGGAATTAAATAGATTTGTGTCAGTTTTCATTTTGTGCTCATTTTTTTTCTTCTAAATTTCTTCTGTGAAACCAGCAGTTCAACAGCAAACCTGTGGTGCGAGGCCCATTTAGTGTTCACCAGGATTAGTATTTAGGACCAGTGAACCACAGTCCACGTAAAGACCAACAACATTCACTACTTTATGTGTCTGTGTTTTTTGAACCTGAGGCATGTCACACACACACACGCCTCCGTCCACTCTGTCTGTCCCGTTTGTCCGTTTGTCCCCAACACATATTTTTATCCTCACACCCACTCATGTGAACAGAAATGACACACACACACACACACACACTTTACTTCACGCTCTTTGTCTTTGATAAAGTGGACACGAACGCACCACTGTCTCTGTCTCTGCTGGACACTGTCCAGCACGGCAGATGTGTACGTGTGTGTGTGTGTGTGGGTGTGTGTGTGTGTGTGTGTTACAACAAGTGCTGAACTAAAAGAAAGAGAGACGGTTGAAAGAGAAGACGGAGATAATCAGAAAGAAGTTATAAATATGTACAAGGTGTCACACACACACACACACACACACACACACACAAAACTTTCTCTCAACGCAGGTTTGTCACTTCCTGTACAAACCCAAACGTCTCGTTCTTCTTCTTTTGTTTGTTTGGTACCGTTTTTATGACCCTGGTCTGGTTCGTTCCTGATTTTGTTCCTGATTTTGTTCCTGTTTTTGTTTTGTTTTTTTTGTCATCCTGACGTGATTTTCCGTAGGCAGGGATTGTAGACTAACATAAGTGATTCTGAATTTGGCCTCACGTTGCACCCCCTGGTGGACATCGGGTGTTTTAGGTGCTAGCAAAGAAGCACAAAAAGGTGCTGTGGTGAATTCTAAGCTCCACCTTGTGGTGAGACGACCACCCACCCAGAGTCAAACAAGGACAGATCAGAGAGGTCTCTGATTGGTTTCTGATGATGATGATCCAACCAACAACAGCAGTGGCGCCCCCTGGTGGGCACCAGGGGTTTCAGGTGTTTCTGCGAGAAGCAGAGAAAGACGCAGAACAACCTGGAGCGGACGCTGTTCAGTTCAGCTCCTCCTTATAACGTCTCGTGTTTCCGATAAGTAAATGTAAGTGTCAACCCTTGATTTTATTGTCTTTTTGACGACGCTGTAAAAACATTAAGTTTCTCTGGTCAAACAGGACGAACTCTAAATATGAAAAAAACGTTAGCAAACACGGCCGCTGACACTGTCGTCTTATTGGTCAATCCGAAGGACAATTATGACCAGTACGTTCCATACTGCAGATACGACATGCTAGCTCTGGTTAGCTGTGTAACAGATCGACACATGACAACGACCTGTGATCCTACGGTGTTTGTTTCCGGTGTTTGTCCTGTCGTAATATTAACCACCAGCTTCAAGACCATGAAGTCAGAGCTGCTAGAACTTCAATGATCTGTCGGAAAAAAACAGGACCGGGACTGGACCTCAGTGACCACCGGCAGTGACTGTTGGTCAGGTGACGGTACTACAGCAGCGCTGCAATAACTGTGACAGCTGAAGTAACACCGTCCTAACCTCAGATGTCCAAAAAAAAACCGACGTAACTCAATCTGAGACAAATCAGCAAAGAACTGGTTACGTAACAGCTCTGTGTGTGTGTGTGTGTGTGTGTGTGTGTGTACTGGAACACCAGCTCTCTCATGTGCTGCACAAACCAGCGTTAGCTCAGCGCTCAGCTGACTTTGTATCAGCTGACTTCAGTCGTCATAACAAGTCTCTATTGTCCTGGAGTTATCCTGAACTGACATTTTAAAATAAGAAAAAAAAAATGAAAAAAAAAGAAAAAAACACTCACATGACAAAGAGAACAGAAGGTTGTGAGGACAGTGAAATAAATATTTGGTCATGTAGCAACAAACGGACATTTCTATCATTTCCTCCTGATTTACAAAATAAACCACAGGCACAGAGAGAGAGAGAGAGAGAGAGAGAGAGAGAGGTCTACAGACCTGGTCTGACTCCAGACAAACTTCTTTCTTTAAACAGCGATAATTAACTAAACGACAGTCCTTTTTATTTAGAAACAAAAAGTTAAAAATAAATATGATTGGACCTGGAGTCACAGAGACACAAGGGTTGAAAGATTGGACCGCTAAAGATTGGACCGCTAAAGGTTGGACCGCTAAAGATTGGACCGCTAAAGATTGGACCGCTAAAGATCGGACCGCTAAAGATCGGACCGCTAAAGGTTGGACCGCTAAAGAGTGGACCGCTAAAGATTGGACCGCTAAAGGTTGGACCGCTAAAGATGGGACCGCTAAAGATTGGGCCGCTAAAGATTGGACCGCTAAAGATTGGACCACTAAAGATTGGACCGCTAAAGGTTGGACCGCTAAAGAGTGGACCGCTAAAGATTGGACCACTAAAGATTGGACCGCTAAAGATTGGACCACTAAAGATTGGACCGCTAATGGACATGGAAGATTCATGGACATAGAAATAGTTGGTGTTGAAAGTCCTGGACCAAAGGATGAAGAATGGAGAAAAAGACGGAAGATGTTTTTGTCCACAGTGAGACATTTTGTCCACGGTGAGACATTTTGTCCACAGTGAGACATTGTGTTGTTTACGTGTCTACACATTAACTGGATAAAGACTTTTTTTTTTTTTGTCCAGGTTCTGATGCTCCTTCTCCCTCACTGTCCTCTGGGACCGTCTCCAACGTCCCACAAAGGACAAGTTCACGGATGAATGAACAGATGGAGCATTTAGATGCAAACCAGAAACCTCTCATGTTTTAGGCTGAGTAGTTGTAGAAAAAAAAAATAATTAGGAAACAATTCTGTTTTTAATTGATGATAAAATTACATTTAAAAATTAAATTTAAACTGAGGCTAAATCTAAACCTGTGGTGAAGAACGTCAACATTATTCAGCAGCTCTGACCTTGAAGCCACTTTTACTGCTGAAACAATAAAAAAAAGTCTACTTCACCTGATGAATGTGTTTGAAAAAAAAAAAAAAGAACGTTGGCCAGAGGAAACATTCATCTTTTACCGTCTGAAAATTCCCAGAAAACAGTTTGGACCCAGAGTTTTTCTGCGCTAACGTTGGTCTCCAACGTCAACGTGGACAAAATCAAAGACAAATGTTTTAAAGGTAAAAACTGGGAGAGCGTGTTAGCTGGAATACGATAACTTTTTTTTTTTTACAAACATTGGAAGAGAGTCTACATTT